CGAAGACCTTCAGTGTGAGTCCAAATAATTGATTTTTATTATTAAACTCTGGAATTCATTTCTGTGTGCCTCATCTGAGGTCATATTTTGTACTGTTTTCTATAGAAGAGTCTTGATGCACAGGAGTATGTAGTTGCCATAAAAGGGCATGCCTTTGCATGCAGGACTGGCCACAAGAAGTAAAAGCTTCAAATGTGTTTTAGACACATTGTATAAGCTTTGTCATACAAAGGTGGTTTAGATTTTTTTAATAATTTCTACTATAGTTTAGCATGCTATTTTATAATCTAGTGACAGCTGTTTTATTATATTCTATCCATTTTCATCTTAAACAAATATAAAGTATTTTGTATTATTAGTTTCTTAGCAGGATGCAGCAGATTTTTTTCATCTGCATTGCTTTTTGCTCATGTCTTCTGTTATTGTCATTAAAGAACTGTGCAGATAATATTGGTTTCAATTTATTAACCTAATTTACTGTTGCTGTTTAGAGTTTTTACCGACTTGTTTAAGAGAAAAGTTTTAGTTGAACTATACTGTCACCTTGTGGTGACCAGCGTTTCTGGTTCAAATTAACACTAAAGTTTTCAAACTGAAAAATCCGGATACCATACAAACAGTTACATTTCTTGTGGTTGCTTGGTAACAGATGTTCAGTACAGTTTCTTCCTCACTAATTCTAAACGAGGTGTCTACCTCGGCAAATCCAGACGACACCCAGAAACAAAGGCATCCAAACTAATGCTAATTAAAATGTTACCCTTGGACTCATCAGTTCTGCAGCATTCCTGAGACACTGGTACCTACATCAAAGTGATCAATATCCCAGAGGATACTGAAAGGCATACATTTGGTCTAAGAGATCACATGTAGAAAGACAGATTTATGCTTGTATGCACCTCTGAGGATAACTGCTATCAAGCACTGACTAGCTTCTACTATCTATGAAGCTTGAATATTCACTAATCCTATCACTTGAAGCCATCCCCACTGTGTTCCTACACAAGTGCACAAACATGCAATGCCATATGATGTCAGACATAAATTGCTTGGATTTGCTACACACAAGTCCCTTCAGCAGTGTTGAAGTTTCATAGCACCAGTACAACTACTTTATTTTTTGAAGCAAATCCCACCACGGTCACATCAGGGATTGTATGGCTGTACTGCACCCTGGTGTCAGTGTGATGTAGCAGCATGACAGCAAACCTGTACAAAACAAATGCCACTGAGGTTATCTGGTGTTCATATCCACCTTCTTCTCTACCGCATAGCCAGCTCTGGTTTTAGTCAATCTGTCCATAAGCTGGACTTATCTCTAAGGCCAATCTGCTTTAGTCGTGGGAGGGCCTAGAATTGGGTGATTTTCCTGTTCCCCAGCAAGTGCCCGGGCAGAGCAAAGAGACCAGGGATGTCTATGGGACATGGATGGGATCAGCTTGAGTTAGAGGGGCTTATACCCCAAAAGGATGGAAGAAAAAATATGGATGGGAATAACCTCTGTTGCATTTTGCTTCAGTTTTTCAACGCTGAGGTTGGACAAGCTGCAGAACATGGTGCTAGGGGAAACAGAAAGGCCTCAGTAAACGCTGGTCCAGACACCTAACAGGATCAGTGTTTCCTGGCATGACAAATAATTTCTTCCACCACTGGACCTGGCTGGACCAAAAGTGCCATGGAGATGACACTGGCTGCAGTGACATACTGCTGTGTCCTGTGTCAAAAAGACAACACAGAAATCCAGACAGATCTCCTTCTAAATTTGGACTTCTTTCTAGGCATCAAAGCAGAAGGGAGAATTAGCCAGTGCTCAACTATGACTGATGGCATTCAGCAGCTGCCAGAGCATGAGCCTGCAGGTTTTCAGAAGGCTGAAGTTCACTATGGATGCTGACCTCTGTCCTCACCCATGACCTGCATGGGGCTAAGAGCTTCTGAGATGGTTCTGGGTCAGTCACAGTTCTGCCCATTCTGGACCCTAAAAGTATCTGGTGTTCCTGAACACTGAAGACAAAAATTTCTCTTTCCTAACAGGTTTGAAGACATGTAAATGAACAAGGTTATTTTTATCTCACAAAGGACAAGAATAATTCCTCCCGCAGCATATTCTTGCAGGCAGCCAATCCAACAAACTTCTTTTGAGGCTGTTGTCATGGCATCTGTCCAAAGTCTTCACAGCATCTTCCAGATTTCTGAGATCTAACGAGATAGAAAGAGGAAAAGATGCACTAGTTAAAAGACACACAGCAAGGCTGCTGGGAGAAATACAACTCATACCAGACTGCAGGATGTATTCAAGTTGCTTCAGCTAACTCGGATTTTTAATTATTATTTTATTTTATTTTAAATTTTTTTTTTGTATGGCATTTTATCCATAGGATACTGTTTTCTCTTTTGATTTTTGACAAGGAAGACAGACTCGCTATAAAAATACTTTCATTAAATCAGCCAGGCTAAAACTCATTTTACCTAACTTCAGCAATCTATGCACCTAGACTAAGGGGGCTGTCTAGGCTAGTGAGTTAATGGAACCATTTATCTCTCTTCTTTACAGTTGAACCATGAGCAGACTAAATGCCAGGTGAGGTAAAATGAGTGTAAGTAAATACTTCTGCCTTAGGTGTTATTTCGGTGACAGAAATTGCTGACCAAAGTGAAAAAGCTGGGTGAACAGCCTGGGCTGCACGTTTGTGCACATGAATTGGCACCAAATGCATTCAGTGAGAGGCCATGCTCAGAAAAAGGCTGAGGATGAATTAACATTGAGACAATCACACAATGCTCATTTGTACAGAACTAAAAATGCAGCAGCCAGACACAGCCTCCCTCTGGGGGTCGTACCACAGGATGTTCCCGGACAACAAACTCCACGTTTCAGGGCTTTAACCCTCCGCACCTTGAGATTTCTTCAGTTTTTCTGTGTACGTGTCACTTCCCCGAAATTAACTCTTGTAAAATGAAATTGTGTATAGATCCATCTACCGAAGATGTGTAGGCTGGCACCTCAGAATGTAAACGCTGCACGTGAGCAAGAACAGACGCTGCATTAACGGGGTCCCTGGTGATGCTTTCGACTGCAGGAGGGCAGGAGGGGCTGGGGTCGGCACGGACATGGGCGCACAGGGGGGGCTGCTTATGTTAAGGCAGCTCACTTCAAAGAACTGCTAACAGCCGAACGCACCCTGCCCCTCAGCTTCTCACTGAAACAATTCCTACGGTGCTCAGCGAGGCCGGGCCTTAGCGGGCACCCCTGCCCGGCAGCACGGGCACTGCAGCCCAGCGGCAGCGTCACAGCCAACAACGCCGCAGCCCGGGCACCGAGCTCCTTC